CACACACACACACACACACACACACACAAGTTCCCGTGAGCGGGGAGAAGACTCATGTTCTGTCTGTCTGTCTCCCCAGACCTGACCTCTTCAAGTACAAAGACCTCCAGAACAGAGACAACCTCTACCGCCTCAACCACGCCTTCCAGATAGCCAGCGACAAACTGGGCATTGACAGACTTCTGGACGCAGAAGGTCAGTCGTTTTTGTCATACGTCTAGTGCCGTATTATTAAGTACCTTGTGATTTTACCATCTATGGTATCTACCGTCATATACAGTTATGTTGTACCATCTATGGTCATATTATAGAGTTATGTTGAACCACAACCGTCATATTTATAGTTGTAAGTGTTTACCATCTACTGTCATATAACAAAGCTGTAGGTGTTTTAACATTTACTGTCATATTATAAAGTTAAAAGAGTTTTACCATCTACCATCATTTTCCTCATCCTTGCCTTTCTCACCCTGCACCAGGGTATAGGCCACGGACTAACACTTTCTCACCCTGCACCAGGGTATAGGCCACGGACAAACACTTTCTCACCCTGCACCAGGGTATAGGCCACGGACAAACACTTTCTCACCCTGCACCAGGGTATAGGCTATAGGCCACGGACAAACACTTTCTCACCCTGCACCAGGGTATAGGCCACGAACACTTCCCACGACATCCAATAAAGAAAAACCGAGAAACCGAGAGACACCTCCCCTCCCCCCTCGGGAGTTGAACTCAATACTTCTGAGCGCCACAGCGAAGTGTCTAACTGTCACACCAAGAACGCCAGTTGTCTAAACTGTTTGTTTAGTTTAAGTAAGTGTTTTACGGCGCTTGCAACACAATAAAGCCATATAAGTGCCGAAGATTAGAGGTGTTACAAGAGAGTAACAAACACAAACACGAAGGAGGGGAAATATGGGCGATAGATGTTTGATAGGAAAGAAGGGGCACACCACACCAGAGCACCCGCCAACCGCCCACTGTCTAAATTGTGTCGAAGGAGACACAACAGAATTTAGAAAACAGAAAACGTCAAATGGACGTCCAAGTTTGACCCCCTCCCCCCCCTCTCAAAAAAGGGAGAAAATTCTCTTTTAAAAAGAAAACAACAAGAGCTCAACTTCCCTGGCCTCCCTCGTCTTTTGTCCAGAACACGACCACAAAAGACCAAAAGGTCTCACTCCGCAATGGCGACTGTCTCGCGCAGACATTCAACTCATTTGAATGTGAAGGAAAACAAAACAAAACAAGCCCAGCTCACAAAGACAATAAAAGCTTTTAGTAAAATGAAGAGTGCAGAGTGAAATCAGTCTGCCCGGGCCCAGAGGGCGCCAAATTGTATGTGAAAGCTTTCAGTCAGCTGCCGCGGACAGACTATGAGGAGGTGGGGCAAAGGTGTGTG